AGGGACTCTAGCTTCATGGTTTTAGTGAGAATGCGAGCAGCAGCATTCTGGAACGCTGATGTTAATGCCAAAGTTCTATAGACTGCAGATGTTCAGATGTAGCTCCCTGAATTGTTGATGGCATAACAAACATAAGCTTTTAAGAAAATTGCAGCTGTAAGAAAAAAAGACAACAATTTTGTTCATCTTGAAATGATTTGAGATTGGTGTAATCTTGTCTGAAATCTATTTTAGACTTCAGACAAAATAGCATGAGTGAAGGAGCCTGGATTGTAATCTTTTGTAATGATAAGTACCCTGAATAATCCCAGGCAGGCTTGTGAGTTGCTTGTTTAAGTTTACACTCCAGAATCTCCAAAGGAATCCAAATCCGGACTTTGATTGGACCTTTCGCAATGATCTTAATTTCTTGTTTTTGAGCAAATTGAGAGGTTTACACTTTCAAATGTAAAAATTTGAAGGTGTATAAAACAAAACCAGTTAGAGCTTAGAGGAGGACTACTGAGGCTTTTGTACATCAAAGCCTCTTCAGGAAAATCTGACTTTTTTCATGCTGTGTAAATGCTGGGTAAATTAAGCCCTGCTCTGTTTCTATGACTAAGTTTACAGAAGACAGATTCATTGAGTTTTTCGTGTGTTTTGGCAACACAGTGTGTACATTTGGGTTCCTTTCAAGAAGTTAATATGTGGTCTAATTTTACCCCCAGGTCCTTGACCGTGAAGTTCACATATGTTCGTGAAAAACGGTGAACTTGATACAGAACTTATGATCATGTTCTCAGCGGATACAAGAAGCTGGTTGCAATTTTATCCTAATCCTCAGGAAAGTTCGGAGAGGGCTGGGAAAACCTCCACCGCTGAGTCATGTTGGGTCACGTACCTGGAATCAATTAATCCACCGCCTAACACACAAGTATTAAAACTTTGGACAAAAATGTCTCGCAAAGCACTCTGATCTCTATAGTAACAACTATTCTTGGCATCATAAAGAACATGTAATTGTATTTTAAAGGTTTTCTCTCCATTCGGTTTTGGTGGCACAAGAAACCTTTGTGAGCAGCACAGAAATGCAGAACGCTGCCATGTCAAGAATGATGTCAAACAGAGAAGAGCAATTCCTGTGAAATGTGAAATATCTGAACAATAACAAAACCCAAAGTATTGAGTGACCTGCAGGCGGATTATGATCCTTGAATCTTTTGAAATTACTCAATTATTTATTGTAAAAGTTGGTGGGCGAAAAGTGATGCAGGCTCTGTAAAAGCATCCAGTCGTTGATGGAGTTAGTTTGCACCCCAAACTTTTAAAAGGCTCAAAATTGCAAGGGGAAAAAATGTCCATTTGGGAGCCTGTACCTACCTGCCATCTCGGGGACTGAATAAATACTAATGTGGTCCATTTATTTTGAATCCACATCAGATGCTGACATGAAAGACTTTGAAAAATCAAGACAACGGACCGAGTTTATGACTCCTAACCAAGATGGCACATTGTCCCAATTCAGTCATATTGAAAAAATGTCCATGGTTGTTATTGGCACACACGCGGGGCTTCAGCTGATTTTCCTCCGAGACGTTGATACGGGAAATACCAAGACGGCTGTCCAGTACATATGTTTTATGTTTTTCTGGAAGAACTATATGAGTCAGATGAGTTCATGCTGAAGGGGGGGTCTTTCAGTCTGGACTCAGCAAGCTGACATATGGTGCAACAATGATCTGGATTCTCTGCAGGGATCCTGTAGAGACTCTGAGAAATTACATCAGACATAAATTTTGCCAAGAGCAATTCTGTGTTTTCCAGCTATTTATTTTGCAAGTAGTCTACTGCAACTTGTGCTTGACCAGGCAAGCACATCTACCGACTGTAGATGTGCTAGTTCTTAGCTTAAACAGATGTTTAAGCAAAGAAAAAGAGGATCTTGGGTTGGAATAACATTGCTCCTCCTTAATTGGGAAAAGGCTCACAAAAGTAGCAGAAACTTCATCATTTTACCCCGTTTGTTGTGACTCATTTTTGTCTACAATTGTATTTGGTTTTTAAGGACCATAAAATTTACATTTTTCAAAGATCCTGCTTTCAAAAGCTAGGAGTTTTGGGCTTTAAGTATGTGTTTATTGCCTGCTTCCCCATGTCTTCCTATGAATGAGAAAGTATTTCACAAAATTGAACGCAACAATTTGTGTGTGGAAAATCTGCAAAATGTTTCCTGCAGTTTCTGAAATTTGTGTTTTGTTAGTTTTTTGTTTTTTTGAGGGGGTCTCTTTTTTTTTGTTTTTTTGTTTTTGGCAAAATATGAATGCAACAGTAAAAATTTCTGTTGTTGCAATTTTCCACCTGTCTTCTTACTTTTTTTAAGTTTCCCAAAGCACAGCAGAAACCCAGTGAATAATGTTGGCAGTTTTAATCACTGGTGTCTAATGCAACATGCATCATCCACATCTGTCAGAGATTGTTAAACTTCACAGCAGTGAAAAAAAAAAAAAAAAACAGACTCACCAGACAGCAATTATGGTTAAGCTGATGGGAAGACCTGGTGGAAAACTCATTTACTCAGCAGACATTTTGACCCTTTTTAACCTTTATAAGGCTTAAAACACTGGTACAAAGTGTAGAAAATGAAAAGGCATTGCCCAGTATAAAAACCACTTCTGGTGATTGTGAAGCATTGAGCTATTTGCCCAAAATATCTTAATTTTAGGGTCTGTTTACTTTCCCCTGAAGTCGTAATGCTGGGGACACATGAAGGACAATATTGTCATGACGGAGCCCAAACAGATGGCCAAGATCCACAAGTTTAAACTGTCACATTGCCTTGCAAAGGAGCATGGAGTGAAAAACAGTGCAATCCTTCAACCATTTTAAGGGTTGGACTCTGAGGAGTTTAGGTCTGGCCCAGAGATTCTCTCCTCCTGCCGTACAACATACAGCCAGTGTCACAATGAACGAAATTTTATTCCGTAACATGGAAAAGAATCATGTGAAAAAGTTATCAGAGTATGATGACATTTAAGTCATGTGCATGTGTTTGGAGACTATTCAAGGTATATGTGGAATATGTGGCTCCATCTACAGTTGTATTTAATTTGTATGTAAATAATCCGTCCATACAACTGAAGTATGCTATGTTAAACACCAACAGACCATCTTAAGTATGCAGATAATCTGGTGGTCTTCATCCCAAGTGATAGTGCTTTACAGCAGCACCTACTTAATATGGTTGAATTGTTTACTGATTTTGTGGTTTTATATTTCAATTTTTCTTTTGTTTTTAAAATATTTTTTTATCTGTGTAACTTTTGACCGATGTTCCCTTACATAAAAAAAAAAAGTTGTAGATTTTTTTGACATTCACACGAAGTTGTGAATATCACTTTGTAGTTTAGTCATATTTAGCATGGATGATAAATCATAATATTTAACTGGTGATTTAAAAAAAAAATCAGAAGGTTATCAGAAGGATGACTATTATTATTTCATCCCTGTGTTGCCTGACGCTGCATTTGAAAAAGCCCTGCTGACTTGCAGATCCTAAATCAACTGCAGAACCCCCAAATGTGAATCCTTTTGGTTGTTGAGAAAATAAATACCTATAGGTTACTCCGGGATGATTCTGAAGAGAGACTTGTGCTGCCAAAGTCTTTGATTTTCAGGTTAAATGCAAGCTCATTTGAATTGTCTTTCTCCGTAGAGTTTGAAGATGACGAAAGTGTTCCTCCAACAGCCAATGAACTCGGAGTAAACCAGAACCATACATTTAAAACTGTCTCTTGCACTGCATTGATGAAGAGTTCAGAATGAATGGAACAATGAGGAAGTTGTTCTGAACTGCAGGCCCACTGCTGCTTGGATAACGCATTCCACCAGCTGTTGTATGAAGTGAATGATGGCCCCTTCGAGCTCTCAGGATGCACTGTGGGAAAGAAACTGAAAGGAGTCTTGCATCGTCATCAACTCCCCTTGGACTCAGGTAAGTTGAATCACTTATTATTTATCTCTTAGGATGTTTAGGCATTTGACATTGTTATTACCATTGTGTCCTTTGATATCAAGGTGTTACAAATCAAGTCAAATTTATCTGTATAGCACATTTTCAGCAACAAGGCAGTTCAAAGTGATTCACATGATACGAACATATCACAACAAACAACAGAGAAACATTACATTGCAATAAAGAGAAGTGATGAAAAGCTGCAATTCAGATAAAAATGGGTGTATTTTCACTCAAAGGAAACTCTTAATTAAATGTGTGTGAGGGGAAGGGAGGGTTTAGCATAGATTAAAAGAAATATGTTTCAGGTGTTTCAATAGTTACAGTTTTCTGGAAGTTTGCTCCAGATTCGAGGGGCATAAATATTTAATCCTGCTGCTGCAGGTTTGGTTCTTACTCGGGGTGTAAAGTAGATTTGAACCAAAAGACCTGAGTGGTCTGGAAGTTTGATGCAATTACTGAAGGTGTTTAATGTTTCTTGGTGCCAGTGAATAACTGAATATAGACTAACACAACTATTTTAAAGTCAATCATCTGAGATACCAGGAGCCACTGTAAGGATGTAAGAACTGGACTAAAGTTTTCCAAGTTTTAGAGCCTCGTAAGTAGACGTCCTGCTGCCATCTGGTGGACAATTACTGCAAATGGAAAAGGGTTCAGCAGTGCAAAGGAGAGCGACAAAAAACTTTAATTTTATGTAAAACTTAATTTTTTTTTAATCTCCCAGGAGCAGAAGACAAATATATATTTACACAGTAAAAATATTAAAGTGCAAATATGAACAAAATATGTAGATTATATTTTAAGTTCATAATTAATGAATAGAACAAACATGAGAATTTTATTTAGTTTTAATAATCATAATATTTGTCACTTTCTTGTGTGTGTGTGTGTGTGTGTGTGTGTGTGTGTGTGTGTGTGTGTGTGTGTGTGTGTGTGTGTGTGTGTGTGTGTGTGTGTGTGTTCAGCACTGCTCAGCGTCGCGTGGGGAGACGTGTGGCGTCGTTGTCATGGTTACAACAACACACGGTTTTGAACAATCAGTGCAGACAAACTTTTTCTCCACTCTGCTCCACTGAACAATGAATTAGCAACGACGCTTTTTGCTCCCGGAAAAATCCACCATGGAAGACGTCCCTGTTTCCGGTCTTCGGGTTCTGGACGAGGTAAAACTTCGGTGGTTTCGTGTTCACACTCGTTCCAATCGGTATCAGAACAGAACATAATGTCCATTTTATTTCTGGAAAAAGGGAAATCCTTCATCTTTAGCACAGCAGATACTATGTTATGTTGTAAAAGAAATAGACCACATAGAGAGGCTGCGTGTGAAAAAATAAGTTTACCTTCCACGCCTCTGTAAGATTGATGATTATCAGCCAATCAGGAGGCTGGTTTTGGAAACCAGGTGTCGCTAATTAGCTGCACGGTCAACGCGCCCCTTCCTCCCTAAACGCAGGATTCTCCACTTTACACAACATCACATGGGAAACAGAGTAAATGGTAAGAACTATTTTTAAACTCTTAACTTATTTCTACAGTGGAAATCCTAATTCATGGGTAGAAAGCGTTTAGAGTGACTGAGTGGACGTCTGCAAATTTGCTCAAAAATAAGACTGTCCAGTACTTAGAAACAAACCAGCTCCATTTCTACAGGCTTTAGTTGGCATGTTAAATGCTTAATGTACAACTTCTGTTGTATAAAAGATATATAAAAGGAAAGCATGACTTGATGCTTCAAGAAGTGCTTCTTAATGAAGTATTTATTTTATTAATACAATTCTAGATTATTGAAATATTCTAGCACCAATGATGATGAGGTGCTATTGAGTCAAGTGGGAGATTATCTGCTTGAGTGAAATTTGGTTTCCAACAGGACAATAAACCCAAATACAGCAAGAAGTTTACCACATAAACTATATATATATTTAAAAATATATATCACAAGTCAGGTGTTGCAATTGTCTAGCCTTGTCCAGACCCTCGCATAATAGAAACGCTATTGTGGGATGTTTTATTAGAGCTGTGCAAAAAGAAACTTCAACGACCTGAACTGATGTTGTAAATAAGACCAGACTGAAAGTCCTTTTATGGTGGGGGAAAAGACTGAGTCATACAGAAAAGAACTACTTAAAAGTTCTTGCTTGTAATGGTGTTTGTACAAGCCATTGAATTAGGGGTATACTTAGTTTATTCCCTTATGTTGTACATGTTTGTATAGTAATCGGTGTGTGAATAATGACAGTTAAACATTAGACTTCAATAGAACCCCATACCGATGCATAATGAAATACTTTCAAAACCTTTTTTGTTTTGTTTTTTGCCATGACTGCATTTGATTCCCAGGCATTCTATCAAAATTACAAATATGGCAATGTAGCACACGCAAACCTTTTTTTTTATTATTAAAAAAATGTAGATTTATTTTTGGCATGACAGATTAATATGACTAAAAAATATCAATATGGTAGATGCACAAAGGTCCAAATACATGTATTAGAACGATCACAAATATGCACAGTCAACAGTGTATAGACTTTGTACTGTATGATCAACCAGACATACATATAATATAAAAGCTCTGTTACATCACAAAGTAAAATAAATACTGTACACATCAAACATGAACACTTCTTTAGTCCATCTTTGCCTTTCAGTGTGTATAAAATTGACTATATGGTGCTATACAGTTTTCTAACACTAGATAGCAGTATTGTACACAAGGTTGACGAGGAGAACCTCAAAAAGTTTAAAACGTGTCAACAATAAGAGCTGTACAGCACCAAGAGATGATGGGAAAATAATTGAAACTGTTCAGTGTCAAGAGCAATTTATCAGATAGTCAGTAATCTAAGCTCTACCGCATACAAGTAGAGCTATAGGGATACCTCTAAGGCCGCACATTTTCCCCGGCGAATTTCATAATGTTTAGGATAATGATGCATTACCACACTGCCCCGGTGTAATTAAACAGTCCCAGCAGGATGTCGTTCATGAGTAATTTCAGACACAAAACTCTATCATAAGCTCCCTCACTTGAGTGGTCGTTGTTAATTATGAAATCATTTACAGCAGAGAAAATGATAGCTCATTAGTTTTTACTACTGGTATGTGCTGTGCTGTGCTGTGTCTCAGCAGGGATTATAGCACGATGCAGCAGGATGAAAGTGGGAGAAATGTCAGGGACCGGTGAAAAATTATCCACGTTAACGTCCCGTGGAATATTACAGCACCCGGAAGGAGGCTGGCCTTTACGCTGCATTTTTAAAGAATTATTATTTTTATAGTCTGTCATTTTTCACAGATGAATTTCTTTTATTATTACTATTATTATTGTCATATTAATCCAACATTTCAAAGGCCACGCTCACATACAGTAAAATGGGATGGCACAATATGATATTTCACAATGATTTTTGTTGGTACTGCAGTCAAACTTTCTTCACCACTTATGTTTGCATGTTTATGTAAGCATGTGTGAATGTCTACATGAAAAAATGTGGAGGTTTTTGTTCTTGAATTTTCTCCTTCTTGTGTGAAGATTTGCCTGTCCTCTTAAGGAACATAGTTTTTGGGCCTTATCATCATCTTGACGGTCTTGAAGGCCTGCCTGTAGTTGGTGGGGTAGTACTCTGTTGTCATGTTGTGCCACGTTCCCCAGAAGATCCCGTTCCTGACACCCTTGTACCTCTTGTGGTAGTACTTCCCGTTGAGGTTGGCAGACATGCAAGCATCGAACCACCAGCCAGAGCTGTAGTACGCGCCGCAGTTTCCAGAGGGGTACATGTCATTGTCACGGTCGGGGGTGGAGAAGAACTTCTGGTCGTGGTTGAAGTGCTTGTTGAAACTGATTGCATTCCCAGCTGTTCCACTGCAAGAGGACAGATATGTGCTCTTCTAGTGAAAGGTTTATGTACACTGACCATTCCAAATAATGTTGTATTCATTCAAATTTATTTTAAAACTGAGACATATATTTGAATTTCAGTTGTTGTGTTATATCTATTGTTTTATCTGTACATAGCCGAAAGGATAAACAGAGGACAAATTATGTATTTTTCAGACACATAGAACCCTATGTGTCTGAAAAATACAGACACATAGAATGCTTTATATATATCACATATAAAAGAAAATTGACTCCCTAATTCAATACCTTGAAAGTGGTTCTCTGTCTCTTTAGAAACTCTTATTTCTGAAATTCGACCTTCAATAAATCATCCCAGCATCGCTCCTTTACTACCCCTTTAACAATATTTTTACCGCCGTTGCACTGAGAAGTTGGTTGTTTAATGCGCTGAGTAGTTGTACAGTTCTGCCAGGTGTTTGCTAATTGCTGCTGGCTAGTTTGAAGGAGCTGAGTAGGAGAGTCACAAGGGAGAGCTGCTCTGGAAAGCAAAAGCTCAAAGGTGTGGAAACCGAAGCTCTGAAGGAGCTGGGCCTCGAACCAGCTTCCTTAGGAACCATCTAATTTAAATTACCTCTACCAAGTCTTCCAAGACCAAGACTACCTGATGCTTATACCTGCTAAGTATATGTCTAAGAGCCCCCAAATTCATTACAATTAAGTAGTGAGTGTAAGCAAGCCTTGTGCCTGAAATATAAATCAGCAGTGTGTCAGATGCAGCAACGAACATACAAACTACAATACTCTTACCTGTACCCGCTGATGGAGAGTCGGTAACGCAAGTACTCATTAGCCACGTAGAATTGGTCGTACTTTGCGTATTCCCGGACATCCTCAAAGTCCTCCAGCTCAATGCGCAGAATCATGTCTTTGGCCTTTGTCAGCAGGTGAATGTGGTCATTGCCGAGCCAGAACTCGCTTCTGCCAGACAGATTAGCGAGGAACAGGAGAAAGGAAGGAAACCAAGAGTCAGGCATACAATATAAATGAGCTTAAATCCTGGCACAGTTAGAGATTGCGTGTGTTTATCCAAACAAAATTAACTTATCTCCACAAATGAGAGGGTGTGGGGATGGGAAGCAAAAGCATTCAGGAGTGTGACCGAAAAATAGATGAAAGAGGTTATTATTTTTTTAGTAGGAGGGAGTGCTGGAGCTGCAGGCATGGTTATCAAGAAGTTACCATGGTTATTTTTTTTTTAGAAAAAACAACAGGGAAGATAAAAAGAATAAAGATATTGATCTGAAAGTTGAATCCAAATAAAACAGAAGCCTGGTACGCTTCTCACTATTACTTCTAAACATCAACAGCCTTGTGTGCTAAATAATTGATTTTACTCTGAAAAGTTTGCAGCCTGTGGGGGAGGAGGGAGCAGATTTTGCGTGGGCAGAATCTTATTTTACATGTGAAAATCAATCGGCGTTAGTGGAAACAGGTGGCAAACAATCTGCGATATTGAGAACAGGTGGGCTGCGTTATTGTTATGACTTCACAGAGCAGGCCGGGCATTTTAAGTTGAGGTTTGAGGGGCAAAATTCTTAACATACGCACTCATTTCCTGCAGCATTGTCTGTAAATAACCTGCAGATTTTGCGAGTACATTGGTTGCATTTTAATAATAAAGCTAGCTCACGATGAAGGTTGGTGGATGTGGCAATGATTGCAAATAGATGTTTAATACAGAAAACCCTAACATTTTGCTTTCCTATAAAAAGTAATTTAAAAATTGATTTGATATAGATGGATTGTTTTGCAATATAATTATATATATTTTAAAAAAACTAAGCATCCCCTTTTGCACTTGGTAACTTCATAAATGATTTGCTTTTAAAATCATTAATTTACATACACATATACCACATTAACCTGGGTAGTGATTACAGCTGGTAAGTTGTATAGTTATCTTGTTACTGGAACAGTTTAACTTTCATGTCATTGGAACACAGCAAGTAGCCACCAGCACTTGTAATTATTTTACTTTCTGATGTTTTTTTTTTAAAATTATCACTAGCTCTAAGTGGCTGCTTCCTTCCAACCAAGTTCTGTTGCATGTCAAGTTTTACCAGTGGTGTTTTCACAATAGAAAAATCATTGCTGGAGAATAATCCAGGAAAGCTGATGATTGTAAATATGTTTGATTTGTTTGAATGCAGTTTTTACTGCATTCAAATGAGACGTCACACAATGCTGATTGACTTTACAGGGTGGACACTGATTTATATTGACAATACACTGACAGTTGAGCTTTTTCTTTTCTTCTTT